TCATTAATAAAACAATAACTGAGTTAATAATAATAAAATTGACAGTAATCATACTAACAACAAAAAGACATAGAAATTTAATAAAAAAACAGTTAAATAAATAACAATAAGTATGAAACAAACCAAAATTGACATTATTCATTGAAATGAATAAAACAATGATGAAAAATAGAGGAAGTATTTCATACAAATGAGTAAGACGAATAAATTCAATTAAAACGAAATAATAAAAGAATAGTTGTTTCATATTTCTTTTCTAGTTAATTTAATAGATTTTTTTAGTTTTCTGATGTATCTTTCAACATTATATAAACTATTCAATTAGACAATTACTTAATTCAATTAGAACTTACATTTTTAAAAAACTATGGCTGAAGATGAATGGCAAGAAACTACATTAAATACAAAGAAAAGAGTTAGTGTTGATATTGCTGATATCAATGATAAAAGAACAAATATATTTTCTGATAAAACATTTAAATTACTTGGATTTTCCACTGAACAAAGAGAACCAATAAGAGCAATAATTGAAGATAATGGAGGTGAAATATCAAACAAAAAAGATGTTGACTTTGCTATTATGTCTGAAGAATTTAAAGGTGCATCAAAAAAGACTTATGAAGAACGAGGATGTGCTCGTTCATTAAAATGGTTATGTCAATGTATTTATTACAATGAACTTATTATCCCCGATGAAGAAGGAAAATCTACAAAACGTAATTCATCTGACATTCTTCTTCCTACTCCATCACCAAAACGAACAATAGACTTATTCCCTGATGAGTCATTAATTAAACCACCAAATGATGAAAGTTCAGGAAATACATTATTAGAAGATGGAGGTGATACTCGAGATAGTAGTTTTGAAGATACTTCTGTTTTACAAGTGAATGATCACATCATTAAATCACTTCCCAATATTTTTTCTTCTATTACTATATATTTTGGAAGAGATATTGACCAACAAATCCGAACAGAACTACAACGATATTTTATTGCATATGGTGGAAATGTATCATTTTCATTTAATTCAAAAGTAACACATTATATAACAAATAACTCAACAGATAAAGACATAGTACATTTAATTTCTCCACAATGTGAGATTGTATCACCTCAATGGTTATTTTTAAGTATTAATAGTAAAACTATTCAACCATTAACATAATTAATTAATAGTACACTTCATATCATAATTTATTGGTTTAATAAAAATAAAATAATTAGTGTAAAAATTGAATTAGAAAAAAGACAGCTTAATCCCAATCCTTGGCGATTTTAATCAAATAATCGAATTGAAGATGAGTAACTTTATCATCATCATAGAATTTAACATTAGACTTATATTCACCTCTAGCAAGCATTCCAGTTGGTGCTTCATTCCAATCATTCTTTGGTAATTCTAATGCATTAAACTCATTCTTTGGTGGATATGAACCTAACATTTCTTCATCAGATGCAACTTGTTTACCAAGTTTAGAAACAGTATTCAAAATTCTTAATCCAAGAACAGGTTGATGTTGGACACGGAATGTAACACGCATTTTGAATTCAGCTCCTTCTTTAATAATAATTGGTGTTTTTTTAGCTTTTTCCATATCCTCTTCAGTATTTAATTTAAGAATAACTGGATCATGTTCTTTAAATAATACTGCAAATTCACTAATAACAACTCTTCTTGGATCATCCTTTGGTGGAACATAATCTGGGTCAATTCCAAGTGATTTTAAATATGCGACAAGGCTTGGATCTTTTTCGTTTTTAACAATGTCTGCTGCTGACATATCTGTGTTTTAATCTTTTCAAGATGTTGATCTTTTTATATCACCGCTTCTCATCTTCTTTTTCCTTTGAACTGTTTTTATTTATAAGATCTTTTCCTGTATTTAGTTTTATAGTTCTTTGATACTTCTTCTAATAGTTTTCTTAACGATCTATTTTTTTCTTCAGAGTTTTTTTTTGAAGATTTATTGTAGGTTTTTCCTTTCCCCATCATTTTTTATCATTAACGAATATTAGATTAATTTATTGAAACAAAAGGTTTCAATTACCTAAGATTATTTATAGCCATCTTTAAGAAAAATGATTTATTGATTAAGTATCTCTTCAACCGATGATTTAAGTTCATTGATAATAGATGATGAAACGTCAACACGACTTAATATTTCTGGAAGTTGATTCTCAAGACATATCTGTTTAAATCCTTTTTTATTTGTTAATAAATATTTTAAATATCCTAATGCTTTCTATTCATATAAATCATTTTATTTTTTCATTGTATTTATAAAGAATTTAAAACAAACAGTACATTGTTTTCCTTTTCCAATACTAACAGTCTCAATCAATGAAATGCCAATTTTATTGATATCCATTCCCATCATTTTTTTTTCAAAATCTTTTAGTTCACTTTCTGATGGAACAATTCTTATCCCTCCACTGTTTGTAACATTAGATACAAGTATTTTTTCTTGTTGTTCCATTAACCCATCAACCATTTGACGTTCTTGAACATTTATTTGTTGATTACTTAAATCAAATGAAGTAATTGGATGTTTTTCTTGTTTTGTTTTAACCATACTTTGATTATTTATTTCATTAAGTGCTTCAACTTCCTTGAATTCTTCTTGATAATATTTACTTTTTGTTAACTTCTTTAATGAAGTGAAAGGATCAACTTTTATTTGTTCTTTTTGTTCTTTTTCTTGTATTTGATTTTCATATTGTTGGGTTAATGGAATAGTACTAAATAAAGGTCCATTAGGTATTGCTTTGGTTTGTTGGTTATTTAATAAATCAGATAAAATAGTTTCATTCAGAGCATTTTGATTTGGTTGTGGGTCTAAATCCAATAATGACATGAATGATTTATTTATAAGTTCTTCTTTTCTTCTTTCTTATAAAACAAAAGAAAATAAGTTCAAACAATATATTCTATTACTACTTCTTGTTTCCTCCTTTTCTCTTTTTAGAAATTCTTTTCTTTGGTTTACTCTCCATTAGTTTTTTAGGTTTCTTCATTTTTTTAATTTGTTCTGAAAGACTAGTACTATTACTTTTTTCAACAAACTCCATTTTAGGTAGTCCATCATCTTCTTCTTTGATTATTTCTTGTTTCTCTTCTATCTTCTTTTCATCTAATATTTCTTGTTCTTTGTCCTTTTCAATATTATCACTATCACTACTTTCTTCAATACTTTCTTCTTCTACTTTTTGTGCATAGTCAATAGGATCATTAGGATGATATTCTAATTCCTCAGCATCATTATCTTCTAATTCAGTTTCAAGCCAATTTGATACTGTGATTGTTGGTGAATTAATTGGATTAAGACCTTTAATTGCATGAATATCTAAATTAGTTTCTTCTCCTCCTTCATTAGATTCTGCAAGATCAAGTTCTATTCCATTGTCATCATCATCATTTGATATTTCCATTTCAGCAATTCCAGCTGCTGTTGCTTCTGTCATATCAACAACAATATAACCTGATAAATGAAGTGGATAATTTCCTTCATTTGAAATAGAAACAATTTCACCTTGACCAAAAACAATATCTAATTTAAGTTGTTCAATTTGTCCAGGAATGAGTGTAGCTATTAAAACTTTATTATTATTTGAATTAACAAATACATTTGTTCTTGTTGGGGTTTCAATTTTTCCTTTTATAAAGATACAAACATTAGTTAAATGAATCATTTGGTTAGTATCAATTGAAGTTGTTTTTTTAGGTTGTATAATAATTGACCAAAACATGAATTAATTTATTTAGTTCTTTTTTTTTTCAAGAAGAATAAATAAATA